AACTGAGGTTCAAGGTGATTAAATTTCCAAGGTCATACACAGGTGGTAAAACTTAAGAAACCAGAATTTGATCCCAAGTCTAATAATTTCAGAAAAGATGCTCTTAACCATCATACTGTATAGTTATATAGCTAACCATATAACTTACTACCCAAATGAGACTCTACTGAGAGTAAAAAAAGGAATTATTAAGAAATATGCCTGGACATTTATAAAATGTGACTCTCCCAGGTAAACCAGGACATGGGTTTAGCCCATCCACAGCTCCCGATTATGAAACATGGATACTTAGAATAAAGAAGAAAAAGTTAACGTTATTGGAGTTTAATTTTCCTTACGAAACAGAGTGCTGAAAAGGAATATAAAGATGAAATCACTGATATAATCATTCACTAGTTCTTCCAATAACTTCAAGAGCTCTACTTAAGAATTTCAGGAATAAGTACTTCACTTACACAGTTAAATTAATACATAAATCAATCAAATATAATCTAAAAAAGACAAATTATCACAAATCATTGAACTAAAATCTGTAAATGAATACTATTAATACCTAAAAAGATAAAGAAAAATTTTAACTAGAATATTAAAGCACAAAGATTTAAAATTAAAGACAAAGTTCAAAATTTATGAAAAAGTTGTAATAACATTGCTTTTTCAGGTTACAATAGCACATTCCATTATAGGAGACTTGGTGTCATAAAACAGTAACTAAACTACATCGATGGGCCTGAAGCTGACTAAGGCTTTAGTACAAGAACCAGGGACCAGGCTGGATGCAGTGGTTCTTGCCTCTAATCCTGGCACTTGTGGAGGCTGAAGCAGCCAGATCACCTGATGTCAGGAGTTTGAGACCAGCCTGGCCAATATGGTAAAACCCCATCTCTACTGAAAGTACAAAAATTAGGCTGGTGTGGTGTTGTGCACCTGTGATCCCAGCTACTGGGGAAGCTGAGGCAGGAGAATCACTTGAAACCAGGAGGCAGAGGTTGCAGTGGGCCAAGATTGCACCACTGCACTCTAGCCTGGAAAACAGAGTGAGACTACGTCTCCAAGAAAAAAAAAAGAACTAGGGCCCGAAATTCTGATCAACTATGAAAAACTTAACTCAGACTTGGCAAATAAGATGAGAAAGAAAAGTCAAGTAAAATAATCTAACGCAATCTAATTCTTAAATTCTGAAATGTTAACACAGGTAAAAGCCAATTACTAGTAAGTATAATTGCAAACATATTACTAAATTGCTAGTTTCTAAAAAGTAACAACAGGCCAAAGAAATAAAAGACACATACGCATGGCAACTGGAACACTAAAATTTTATTTGACATTTCTATTCCTCATGAGAGCAAGGCCAAGACAATTTTTTTCTAGCATAGAGCCAGAGAAGAGTCTTAGAACACTGCAAGTGACTCAAATTCGTTTCTAAGGCCCTTGACCCAGAAATTCTGACTCATTAGGTCCAGGTGATTCTGATGCGGAAGGTCAACGGAACAAACTGCAAACAACACTGACCTAGCATGGTAGGTCTCACACTTAGGGACCATCAGAATCACCTGGAATATCATTAAAGCACCATTTACTAGCTGTATTCTCCCAGTTTTTGTTCAGTAGAGATCTAAAGTGGGGCCTGAGAACTGGTACTTCTCTGGTACTTCTTTTTTTTTTTTTTTGAGATGGAGTTTCGCTGTTGTTACCCAGCCTGGAGTGCAACGGCACGATCTCGGCTCACTGCAACCTCCGCCTCCTGCGTTCCAGCGATTCTCCTGCCTCAGTCTCCCAAGTAGCTGGGACTACAGGCACGCACCACCGTGCCCAGCTAATTTTTTGTATTTTTAGTAGAGACAAGGTTTCACCTTGTTGACCAGGATGGTCTCCATCTCTTGACCTCGTGATCCACCCTCCTCGGCCTCCCAAAGTGCTGGGATTATAGGCGTAAGCCACTGCACCTGGCCGAGAACCAATACTTCTAACAAGCACCCAAGTGATGCTGGTCCTTTTGAGACCACTTAGAGAATCATGTCCCTCAGCTAATGAAAAACACAGCACCCAAAAGGAATTCCTCTATCCAATTAAAACAAAAATATTTTTTAAAAAGCAAGGGTAAGTAAAGTATAGATGCCTTAAACCTAATCAGTATTTATTTTTAAATGGCTTAAGTTGTAAAACATAACTCTTAGTCTGATTATACAGTAATATGCTTATTGGAGAATATTTAGGAAACAAATTGTAAAGAAGAATATAAAAAAGCATCTTCAAACTCACCTGTCAGGAAAAAGCATTGTTAATATTTTGGTATTTATCTTTCTTGTTTTATCCCTATGGGAGTGTGGGTATATCATATTCATCTAATTTTGTTTTCTTCTGAAAATTTGTTTTTCAATAAAATTGCTTAATAAAGTTCTAAGAATAATATAAAGATAAAATCATTAAAGTATCATATCAGAAGAGTTTTTAAATTATTAAGTACTGTATAAGGATTTCCAAAGTCATTGAGTGATTCTGAAGCTTAATTTTTTTAAAACGAATACATGGTTAGAATTCTTGTCCAAATGCAAAACTGTTTGTTTAAAATAAAACAGGCCAGGTGCAGTGGCTCACATCTGTAATCCCAGCACTTTGGGAGGTCAAGGTGGGTGGATCATTTGAGGTCAGGAGTTCAAGAGCAACCTGGCCAACATGGTAAAACCCTGCCTCTACTAAAAATACAAACATTAGCTGGGCATGGTGGCGGGCACCTGTAATCCCAGCTACTCGGGAGGCTGATGAAGGAGAACAGCTTGAACCTGAAGGGGCAGAGGTTGTGGTGAGCTGAGATAGTGCCATTGCACTCTAGCCTGGGCAACGAGAGCAAAATTCTGTCTCAAAAAAAAAAAAGTAAATAAAATAAAAATAAAAGATAAACAAAATACATAAGCAGGCACACTTTGCATAGTGCTGCATTAACTGAAAAATAGGTATATGGGAACTCGGTCCTCCTTTTACATGATTTTAGGTAACTGTGGTGACTGTAAAAAGGGAGGGCATGGTTCCAATGTGCATGAATTTCTGTTAATTTCAGTACCATGGAAAGCAAGGACAGCCATAGTTGTGGTCCATAATGAAGATTCCACTCATCAAGAAAAGATATTTATACGTATTGTTTCAACAAACACGAAGGAGGGTGATACATGTAAGAAAGAGTTCTACCAAAAAATAAGGACAAGATAAAATGTATGCGTACCAACAATATGAACACAGTGTGTTTACTGACGTTCTGTATATTTAGGACTGCAGATGAAACCTATTTGTCACAAAATATACACTAAGTGCCTAGAACCTCACTCAGTCTACCTTTAAAAAGTCAGATACAGCAATATAATTTCTTTAAATATTAAACTAGTGGAGGAATTTTTTTTTAAACTTTAAAGGGTTGGGGTGTACAATTAATGTTTTACGGGTTTATGTCAAAAAAAGAAATGGCAAAAGAATATTCTTGTAATCACCAAGTTAAGTCAAATTACCCATGCACAATTCAATGTTCCTTTATTTCCTATATGCAGAAATACACTATACCCAGGGAAGAATAGCTTTTTTAAGAGAGAGGAGAAAAAGAGTAACAAGATACACAGCATTAGGCAAGTAATTAAACGTGGATAATTAAATGTAAAAATGTGCTATATTGTAGTTTAAACATAAGAAATAGCTGCATTCTGTAGGTCCATTCATATCGTTCAACCTAACATTTCTAAAGAAAGAAAAACAGGTAGTAAACAGATACACTGATAACTAATCTTAAGCAAATTATATCAACATAAAAAATTATTAATTATTACATGTCAAAAAGACCTATAACTTAATTCTACCCTGTTTTGTAAGAAACCTTTAACATGCAATTTTCCCACATACTTATATAATATACTGACAGTACTATATTAATCTCATTAAAATATCCTTTAAAGGACATTATGCAAGCAAAGCCAAATAATAGTAAATATTCACCTTTCGATCAACAACATTTATCAGATGCTATGAAGAACACTCTTCATGTGCCAACCATATGTTTTACAATTTGAGTTTAATAAAAGTAGAATTCACTATGTGTACTATACATTTTACTACTTATTCCATATATTAACAAAAAGAAAAGCTAGAAAAAAATGTATAATGACGGTTACATGGGTAAAAGGTTTATCTCACACATCAAATATCATGCCATTTCTAGTAAGTATTTAAAATTTGCAATATCAGTAAACATTTCTAATCAAAATTTTGCCTAGTGGAGGAATAAAATCACAGACCTCCATAACAACTTGTTTTAATCCTACAAAAAAAAATTGTGCTGAGCAAGAAAATCTTTAGCAATGCGCATACTTGTCTCTGCGTATCAAATACCAATTATAACCACCGTTAAATGTATTTTTAAGCCAAGAAATTATCATAAACAATGAGGAAAAGACAAAAAATAGACCTATCTTTGCAAATAAAACCTGTAGACTTGCCATCTTACTCTTCCTGTACATAACTAGAATGAGCTTTTTCCAAAGAAAAAGACACATGAGAGCATAGTTATGCACTGAACTGGAGGACAGCATAGCGGGACTATGCCCAAATGATAATAAGAATAAATGATTAAGAAAACAGAAATGAAAAGACTAAACTGAATTTTGTTCCATGGTCAAACAGATGAGTCCAAAGTCTGGGTAAAGGACAAATGGTGAGAATTTCTATTTTTAAAAAGTTGCCGTTTTTGGCAGACAGCACAATTCTTAATATGGTTGACTTATGCTATAAACACCCTACTTAATTAAACATGTTATGTGCACAATTATAAATACCTTAAATAGCACAATTATGAATACCCTGAATATTTTCACATTATATTCATGAATCATCAGAATATTACTAATTTTAATTTTAATGATTTCTTACCAAATCAGCCTATTGTGTAAACTTTTCAGTGGCTTCAGAATAGGGCAGGAAAGTAGATTTTCATGTACTTTTTCTCTGTACCTACGTCTTACCTCTTCCTTCCTCTAATCTGTGTCTTCTGATTACACGTTGCCGTTTTTCTTCTTGTCGTAACTGAAGGTGTTCTTCAATGTTAACCCCAGGCACTGGGACAGCTACATGATTGGCCAAAAAAAACATAACAACAACAATATATGTGCTATATCATAGCTATGACAGAACTACATAAAATTCAAGAAACTAAAAGCTAGCAAAAACATTGCCTAAAACACAAAATATTTTTACTGTAAGAATTTTTAGCCAAAAACGAAAAAGGAATCTCATTCCGGCTAGGCATGGAGGCCCACACCTGTAATACCAGCACTTTGGGAGGCCAAGGTCAGGGATCACCCGAGATCAGGAGTTCAAGACCAGCCTGGCCAACATGGTGAAACCCCGTCTCTACTAAAAACACAAAAATTAGCCAAATGTGCTGCAGGGCACCTGTAATGCCAGCTACTTGGGAGGCTGAGGCAGGACAATCACTTGAACCCAGAAGGCAGAGGTTGCATGAGCTGACATCAAGCCACTGGACTCCAGCCTTGGCAACAGAGCAAGACTCTGTCTCAAAAAAAAAAAAAAAAGAATTTCATCCCTTAAATAATGTCATATTGTCAGTTAACATAAGAGCAGTATTACATAATTATTAATTTTTTAACATATATCTAAAAGAAACTGTTTAAACTGTCAGACTTACTGAGCTGAGGACAACTCAGTGTAGTATAGAATAATCGATCAAAATTACCTAAAAGAAGATCTAAAGGTATCATTTCTTTCACTGCATCAAGAATTCCTCTTTGTCTTGCCTCTTGACCATCCAATTCTCTTGCACAAGCCTTGCAACATCCACACACAGCACAACCAGATTCTCCAGAACCACAACCACAGATCCTAGAAAGAAAAAGACAACTGAGATCTTCCTAATTTTTTCTTAAAACGCTTTTCTATAACTTCTTTTCTACATTTTTCTAATTGTTAAATAAATAAGTAAATCACTTCTTTAGATCAGGATTGTTCATTTTAAAGAATGGGTATAAATAGCAGAATAATTAAAAACAATACTCTGATTTATCTCCCAATATGTATAACTGGTATATTTCTACAAAAAATACAAACAGATTCTGCTATCATTAAAGCCACTATGGTGAAAATAATCTTTTAAAAGTTTTTGCAGTTGGTAATGCACTAGAAGCTTTAGGATTAAGTGACCGAGATGGGTTGGTTGGCTAAAAACAATCAAGGTTGCTGTCTAGCAGAAAAGTGAAGACAGGTGTTGGCAGCCTTCAGCAAGAGTCTAGCTTGCCAGCTTCATGTAATATGTCTCCTTCCCCATCTCTTCTTTACATGCCATCATCTCCCATTCTCTCCTTTCATTCAGTCCAATTACCTGTTCTTTTCCTCCTCTGTCCCTTTTATATCAACTGTGAACCATAGGGGGTATTTGTTGACAAGGACGCTCCCAGAAACTGACTTGAGGGTCAGTGAAACTAACTTCTTAGTCACATATTTTGTAGAAGTCATAGCTTTAATGTTACTCATTGGATCAGTCTTTAAAACTTTTGACAGCCTTGCTGAATCCCAGGTTATACAGATTTTGGAAGGTACAAGAGGAAGAACATATCAGGCAGCAGTTTAAGCACTGCCTATCATAGCAACTAAGCGCTCTATGAAATGTCTCACTTTTTAAAGCAAGGATTACAATTTGGAGGATTACTTACTACACAGTAAAAACGATGACACAGTAAAAAAGCCCAACTGACATTATTAAGATAGTGTCTTAACTATCTTAAATGACACCAATTATTCTCAAAATTTTCCCCAAAATTAAAGAGAATACTCCCCAATTCATTCCTTGAAAACTGGATTACCCTGATACCAATGCCAGACAAAAGATGAAGAAAGAAGAGAAGAAAGAAGAAGGCAGAAGAAAAAGAAGGTAGAGGAGGAGAAAGAGAAAGAGCAGAAAGGGAGGAAAAGGAGGGGAGGTGGCCAAAAAATAAAAACAAAAACATCCTACAGACCAATATCTTTTATGAATAATCATGCAAAAATTCTCAACAAACTAAAAAATAATCAGCAGGATATTAAAAGAATTATACACCATAACCAAGTGGGATTTATTCCTGGAATGCAACAAACAAAAATCAATCCATGTAATATTAACAGAATAAAAGAAAAAAAAAAAACACATGATCATCTCAATTGATGTAGAAAATGCATTTGACAAAATTCAAAGCCCTTTCATAGTAAAAGCACTTGACAAACTAGGAATAGAAGGAAATGATCTCAACATAAAAACCACATATGAAAAACCCAGAGCGAACATCATAATGGTTAGAGACTGAAAGCTTTTTTCTAAGATCAGGAAGAAGACAAGGACGTCCACTTTGACCACTTCTAAATAGCACTAGAAGTTCTAGCCAGAGTAATTGGACAGGAAAAGAAATAAAAGTCATCCAAAGTAGAAAGGAAGAAGTAAAATTATCTATGTTCACAGATAATACAATCACATAAGTAGAAAACCCTAAAGATTTCACTCAAAAAAAAACTAATAGAGTAAATGAATTCAGCAAAGTAGGAAGATACAACAAGTCAACACACAAAAATCAGCTGTATTTCTAGATATTAACAATGAACGGCCAGGCGCGGTGGCTCAAGCCTGTAATCCCAGCACTTTGGGAGGCTGAGGCGGGTGGATCACGAGGTCAAGAGATCAAGACCATCCTGGTCAACATGGTGAAACCCCGTCTCTACTAAAAATTACAAAAAATTAGCTGGGCATGGTGGTGTGTGCCTGTAATCCCAGCTACTCAGGAGGCTGAGGCAGGAGAATTGCCTGAACCCAGGGGGCAGAGGTTGCGGTGAGCCAAGATCGCGCCATTGCACTCCAGCCTGGATAACAAGAGTGAAACTCCGTCTCAAAAAAAAAAAAAAAAAAAAAATGAACAATATGAAGATGAAATTATAAAAACAATTCCATAGCATCAAAAAGAATACACTTGGTAATTAACCAAGGAGGTGAAATGAGAACTGAAAAGCACTGCTGAAAAAATTAAAGATGACATAAATAAATAGAAACACATCTTATGTTCATGAATTAGAAGACAATGTTTTTAAGATTTTCATACTACCCAAAGCAATCTATAGATTCATTGTAATCCCTATCAAAATCCCAATGATGTTTTTTACAGAATAGAAAAACCTATCCTAAAATTCATAGAAAATCTCTAGGGACTTCAAATAACCAAACAATCTTGAAAAGAAGAACAAAGTACACATAGTTCCTGACTTCAAAACTTACTACAAAGCTACAATAATCAAAACAATGTGGTGCAGCATAAAAACAGTCATACAGACCAGTGGGATAAAACAGACAGCTGAGAAATCTTCCTTCATATATATAGTGAAATTATTTTTGACAAAGGAGCCAAGATTATTCAATAAAGAAAAGGATCATCTTTTCAATAAACGTTGCTGGAAAAACTGGATATCCACATGAAAAAGAATGAATTTGAACACTTCTCTAACAACAAAAACTAACTCAAAATGAATCAAAGACCTAAATGTAAGACCTAAAATTATTTTAAAAAGAAAAAAAAACTCTTGGAAGAAAAGATACAATAAATGCTTCGCAACACTAGATAGGGAAATGATTTCTTGGATATGACACCAAAGGCACAGGCAACAAAAGTAAAACAACAGACAACTGGACTTCATGAAAATTTTAAAAATCTTGTGCTTGCAAAGACAAAGTCAATAGAGTCCAAACACAACCCACAGACAGGACTTTTTATTTTCAAATCATATACCTGATAAGGAATTAATATTCAAACTATATAGAGAACTCCTAAAACTCATCAACAATAACAAAAGAAACCGACAACCTGTTTCAAAAACGAGCAAAGGACTTGAAATAGCATTTCTCCAAAGATGATCTCCAAATGGCCAAAAAGCTTATGGAAAGATGCTGAATATCACTAACCACTGGAGAAATTCAAATATAAACTATAATGAGATACTACCTCACACCCATTAGGATGCCACTGCCAAAATAAGAGATCGTAAGTGTTAAGAAGGATGTAGAGAAACATCTGTACATTTTTGGTGGGAATGTAAAATGGTTGGCTGCTATGGAAAATAGTATGGCAGTTCCTCAAAAGATTAAAAATAAAATTACCATATGGTCTAACGATTCCACTTTTGGGTATATACGCAAAAGAGCTGAAAACACAGCTCAAAGAGCTACTTGTACACCCATCTTCACAGCAGCATTATTCATATTAGCTATAATGTGGAAGCAACCCAAGTGTCCATCAACGTGTGAATGGATAAGCTAAATGTAGTCGATACATACAATGGAATATTATTCAGCCTCAAAAAGCAAAGATGTTCTGACATATACTAGAACCCGGATGAACCCTGAGGATATTATGCTAAGTGAAATAGACCAGTCACAAGAAGACAAATATTCTATGATTCTCTTTATATGAAAGGTACCTGTAGTAGTCAGAAAGAAAATAGATAGTAGAATGGTGGATGCCAGAGGCAGGGGAGAGGGATCAATGGGTATTCATTGTTAAATGGGTACGGAGTCTCAGTTTTACAAGATGAAGAGTTATGGAGATGGATAGTGGTAACAGATGCACAACATTATGAATGTATTTGATACCACAGAACTGTCCACTTAAAAATGGTTAAGATGGTCAATTTTATATGTATTTTATCATGAGATGTGTAGTCACAATTTTATAATAATTGAAGTCAGTGTTAACAGTCCTTACTATTCTGATATATTGTTTGCTTCATTAATAAAGCAACTATTATACTTGGTTAGTATTGCCTATGTAGGTATATGAATAATTATTAGAAACTATATAAGTCTCTGGGGGGAAAAACATATGAAGAATAATTAATTTCAAAGAGAATTCATAGATTTTCTTCATGATACATACAGGCTGCCTAAGCTCAGAGAGTGGGAATATTAAATTTTACTTTTATTATTTGTTTTTTTGAGATGGGAGTGTTGCTATTTGCTGAGGCTGGTTTCAAACTCCTGGCCTCAAGTGATCCTCTGGCCTTAGCCTCCCAAAGTGTTGGTATTATAGACGTAGGCCACTACACCCAACTAACATTGAATTTTAATAGAAATAGCATCAGAGAGACCAAAGTGAATAAATTTCAATTCTAACACTGTTAAAAAATAATCATAGAATCTGCATCCAAATTAAATTTAAAAATAAACAACTTAGGTGCTTGAAAACAGAAAACAGAGCCAAACATAAAGCACTATAGAATAAATATTATCCTTTGAGAAAGATTACTGTAAATTGCTTCTCCTAATAATGTAAAGAAAATTTGTTTTTAAAAAGTCATTATCTCAGCAGCCTTAGAGAAAAGGCCTATTATATATGACCTATTTAACTATGATAGGCCTAACATAAACTTAGAAATAAACTCCTATTAGATCCAGACAGTATTTGCGAACAAGCAGTTATGAGAGTTGCTAAAGGGGAAGGTCAAGATGAGATGCAGAGATGGCTGTTTTCTTTCTGGGCTTCTCTTCACAAAATTTTCTCTACTCCTCCAAATCAGCCAATTATCAGAAAGCTCATCTTACAAAGAATATCCCATCATGTTATAGTGGCCGTAACTAGCAATGTAGAAAACAGAGTTCAAACTTCTTCCTAAAATTCTAGCAGAAAGCCTGCATTTTTATTTTGCCAAACTCACATATTAATTTTAAAGTAACAACAATATAGAACTCTGAAAAATGTGGTCCACTGAAAATAAACATAAATATAACAGGTATAATATAACTTTAGAAGCAAGCATACCCAAAATTTCTAAAACTATAAATGGTAAATTTAATATAAAAGAAAATTATATCTCTAATCAAGTATCCTCTAAGATATTGATAATTTGATTTAGAAAAGATTCATGTTCAACAAAAAGAAGTATAATAGATATCCATCATTAAATAGGCTTAGGAAAACAATACAAATAAAGGCACAGCCCCAAATCTTGAAAAACTTATGACCTGTTTTTAAATAATGGTTTAAATAAACCAAATGAAAGAAAGGCAACCTTGAAGACGACACTAAATTATACATTATTATAATAGAAAACAATTATAAGAATGATATTTTCTTGGCCTTTTGGCTAAGATCAAACGAAGATGCCACTGTGTCTTTAAGAAAAAAATATTAATAGTAGCGTACACTCTGGATTGATTTTGCAAAGAAATGTGTTCTGCACATGCTCATTGGTAGGAATCAGTCTCTCTTACCCCCCGGGGACTCTGTCTGGCCGTCCACTACTGACACAGCTGGCTCCATAACCTGTACAGTCTCCACAGACAGTGCAAACCATGCACTGCTCCAGCTTCCATTTGTGCATGCCTGGAGGGCACATCATGGACTTCTCATCTTTTTCATCTAGTTCTTCTTCTAGGTCTTCATCCATTGCTGTCGCCATATTTTCAACTCCAAACCCTATTTAACAGATCATTTGTAATTTTTATACAGATTACTTTCATGTATAAAAGACGGATGACTATATCCCCCAATTAAAAAAATAATGACGGCATACTAATCCAAGCAATTATACAAAGAAATGCTTAAATTTGAGTAACAAAAATACATTTTAATTAAGGGACCACTAATAAACACTTTCCCCATTTCATTTCTGCAAAAGAAGGCAAGGAAGGCTACTGTTAAATGTTTCTTGGCTGTTATCTTCTGTCGATCATACTTTTTTTTTTTTTGAGACAGAGTTTCGCTCTTGTTACCCAGGCTGGAATGCAATGGCGCGATCTCGGCTCACCGCAACCTCCGCCTCCTGGGATCAGGCAATTCTCCTGCCTCAGCCTCCTGAGTAGCTGGGATTACAGGCACGTGCCACTGTGCCCAGCTAATTTTCTGTATTTTTAGTAGAGACGGGGTTTCACCATGTTGACCAGGATGGTCTCGATGTCTTGACCTCATGATCCACCCACCTCGGCCTCCCAAAGTGCTGGGATTACAGGCATGAGCCACCGCGCCCGGCCCTGTCAATCATACTTTTAAATATTTTCCTTTTTACCATCCTCACTACCAACACTTTCATTCAACAGATCAAAAAAAGTCTCTCAACCATGCTCCAAGCCAAGAGTCTGCCACTCTAGATCATCCTCCTACTGGAGGATCCACCAATCATCTTCCCAAAGGACATACTTGATCCCACAACTTCACAGTTTACAAACCTCCACTGACGTTTCAAGGTCTTCAGAAGAACAAAACTCAGGAAGAGACAGTAGAACAATATGGCTCCTAATTTTCTCCAATCTCATTTCTTTTCCCTCTGCTCTCCAAACACTCCATGTCCTTCCACATGCTCAGGGCCTTTGCTCATTCCTGCTCCCTCTGCCTCTATCTTCCTCATTTACAAGATCTCTCTGCCTATCTCATCTGGCAGAGAAGCTCAGGCCTTCAAAAATTCAGCTCATAAGTCATTACCTTTGAAAGTACTTGCTACCTTTTCCAGGCAGTCAGTCACTACCTCCTCAGTGCCTGTTTATACCTCACTTACAACTTTTTAAAACTGTGTTATAATTCATTCATCTTTTTAAAAAAATTGAACACCTTATATACTCCAGGGATTCCTTCAACTGCAAGAAATCAGCAAACCTTTAATAAAGGATCAGACTGAAAATAATTTAAGCTTTGTGGCCCATACAAACGTTAGTCACATTTTTTACAATCCTTACAATGTAAAGTCAATTTTTAGCCTGTAGAGCTATACAAAAAATGATATCAGGTTATACTCTGCAGACCTCTGCTCTAGAAACTGAAGACCATGATACTGAGCTGTTACAAAGCCTATAATATAGTGATAAAGACAGACATTAATCAAAGAACCAAATAAAAATGTAAACTACAACCGATAGGATTTTGAAGGAACATAGTAGCATAAGACCTTGATGGGAGAATTAATCTGTGGGAGTCTAGACTTTCCAACTAGACTTAAGATCCTCAAAGGAAGATCCTCAAAGGAGTATCTAAGTTATGAGGTTATGTTTAATCATATTATCTCTTATTCTTAGTCAACCTTATTCTCCTGCACCTATAACATCCACTGAACACAGAGCTACCATTCAATATGTGTTTATCTAATTAAGAAATAAACTCATAGCATATATAGCCTTTTTGGGTTTTGCCACTTCTCATCCATGGGCAAGCAGAAAAATTAGATAACCAAGCATCAAACAGCTATATCTAGGAAGAGAATAAAGTGATCCTAAAGGAAGCATGAGTGACTATTTTTAATAACCTTAGCTAAAATGTACTGAGCACTATTTGTAACTAGCTCTACAATTATTACTCACTTAATCATTCCAACAGTACTGGAACTATTATCCTCAAATTAATCTTTACACTCAATGAACTCTCATCACAATGCCAAGCAGTTAAAGCTCATTGTAATTTATATGGGAAATAAAACCTCCAACCAGGCTACACTGATCACAAATTTACAAAGAAAAAGGCTGGAAATTTTGACGTCGAAATTTTAAAATTATATATAACAAATGAAACTGTAAACCACAGGTTAGTCAACGATACATAAAACATAATATTTAAAAAAGCTCCTACAAATCAATTTTTTAAAGTAAGTAAAATAAAGATTGAAGAGATGTTCAAACTCAGTATTAATAAGCAAGGGAATGAAAATTAAAAATGAGAGACCCATAAATTCTACTCCTAGCTATATACCCAAAAGACATGCATAAAGACTTTCACCAAAACATATTTACTAGAATGTTCACAGCAACATTATTCATAAAAACCAAACTGGAAATTGTCTAAATGCCCAAATACCAGAAAGAATTTTAAAACTATAGTATCTATATTTATTTTAATCGAAAAAAATGAACAATCTATACCTATTTGTAACAATATATATGAACTTCATAAACATAAAACAATGAAAAGAAACTGGACACAAAAGAGTTCATACTGCATGATTTCATTTATATGATGTATAAGAAGAAAACTAATTCATGGTGATTAACGGGGGGGCACAGAGGAACATACAGTGGGGCTTTCTGGGGTGCTGGTAATATGTGGTTTCTTAATCTGGGTGCTGTTTACATGAATACAATCAATTTGAGAAAATTCATTAAGATGCTATGTACAGGGGGGACTCAAGATGGCGCTGTGAGAACAACCCAGGATTGGAGCTCTCGTTGTGTCCGCGGAGAGGTGAGTCTGAGCTGCATTTCCAGACTGATCTTTGTTGCCCACGGAATGGGGAAATTCCCAAGTGAAGAGGAGACGCGGGACGCCAGGCTGAACCTCCGCCTGGCGAAGCCGGCAGCCGGGGTGGTGGCGGCTGGCCCTGCCCAGCGCTCCCCACAGGGCGCGCTTGTCTGGGTGCCCTGTTGAACCGGCAACCGGAGACGTGAGAGGGCTGGACTTGAGACTGAGCTAGACTTGGACAGTAGGCCAGCCCAGCGGATTGCAGGGACAGAGCGTTAGGGGTGCCCTAGTGGGACGAACAAAACCGCGATTTCAAACAAGCCCCGTGCAGACGGCCGGAGACGCTCTGTGGGGGAGGGGCGTCCACCATTACCAAGGCAACCTGCCCCAACTGAGATACACGTCCATTGCTGACGCAGCCAGCCGTTGCCGAGGCAACCCGCTACAACAGAGAGACTACGCCACAGGGCGTGGCAGAGAACACAGCAGAACAGCGGAGCCAGGGCGAGCCTCAGGACAGCAGGGCGGAGCCTCAGCAGGCAAACAGTGGCTAGTCTGCATCCTAGCTGGGCAGGACCTCAACGGACATCCAAAAATAAAGCCCAAACCCCTCAACACAGAGCATTTGAGAAAAAAAAAAGGGTTTTTTTAATGAGCTCTGTTGCAGCAGAATCAAACATAGCAGCCTAACAGCCCTGAATGAACAACAGAGCTCACAGCTCAGCAATTAAGCCCCTATAAAGTACAAACTGTCTCCTCAAGCAGCTCCCTGACCCCTCTATATCCAAAAGACTGACATTAGGCAGGCATCATCCTGGGACAAAGATAGCAGAAAAAGAAACTGGTAGCATACCTCGTTGTGCCACAGCAGCTAGAGGTGCACCCCAGACAAGCAGGGTCTGGAGCGAACCTCAGCAGTCGTACAGCAAAGGGGCTAGACTGGTAGAAGGAAAACCAAGCAACAGAAATACTTCATCATCAACATTCTGGGTGTCCACTCAGAGACTCAATCGAAAAGTCAGCAACTATGCAGACGACCAGCAGACAAATCCACAAAGATGGGAAGAAACCAGCGCAAAAAGAAGGAAAACACCCGAAACCAGAACACCTCACCTCCTAGAAAGGACCAAAACTCCTCCCCAACAAGGGAACAAAGCTGGACGGAGAATGACTATGACGAAACGACGAAATTAGACTTCAGAAGATGGATAATGAGAAACTTTTGTGAGCTAAAAGATCATGTATTAAATCAATGCAAAGAAACTAAGAACCTTGAAAAAAGATTTGAAAAAAGATTCGAGGAAATGATAACAAGAATGGATAACTTAGAGAGGAATATGAATGAATTAAAGGAGCTGAAAAACACAATACGAGAACTTCACGAAGCATGCACAAGTTTCAATAGCCGAATCGACCAAACAGAAGAAAGAATATCTGAAGTCGAAGACCAACTCAATGAAATAAAACGAGAAACCAAGATTAGAGAAAAAAGCACAAAAAGGAATGAACAAAGTCTCCAAGAAATGTGGGACTATGTGAAAAGACCTAACCTACGTTTGATAGGTGTACCAGAAGGGGACGAAGAGAATGAATCCAAGCTGGTAAATACTCTTCAGGACATCATCCAGGAAAATTTCCCCCACCTAGCAAGACAAGCCAACACTCAATTGCAGGAAATACAGAGAACACCACAAAGATATTCCGCAAGAAGAGCAACTCCAAGGCACATAATCGTCAGATTCAACAGGGTTGAAATAAAGGAGAGAATACTAAGGGCAGCCAGAGAGAAAGGTCGGGTCACCCACAAAGGGAAGCCCATCAGACTCACAGCAGATCTCTCGGCAGAAACACTACAAGCCAGAAGAGAGTGGGGGCCAATATTCAACATTCTTAAAGAAAAGAACTTTCAACCCAGAATTTCATATCCAGCCAAACTGAGCTTCAGAAGTGAAGGAAAAATAAAATCCTTTGCGAACAAGCAAGTACTCAGAGATTTTGTCACCACCAGGCCTGCTTTACAAGAGCTCCTAAAAGAGGCACTACACATAGAAAGGATCAACCAGTACCAGCCATTCCAAAATCACACTGAATGCTAAAGAGCATCAACACAATGAAGAATCTACAACAACTAACAGGCAAAACAGCCACTTAGCATCAAAATGGCAGTATCAAATGCACACATAACAATATTAACCCTAAATGTAAATGGACTAAATGCACCAATCAAAAGACACAGACTGGCAAATTGGATAAAAATC